TAGAAGGAAACGCAAAGGTTACCTGTTAATTCCCTGCCTCCACAGCCTCGCCTAGGCTCCGGCAGAGCTCCCGCAATCAGTGGGCGGACTCCCCACAGAGTCTTTGATGCGGTCCTACGGGTTGCAATCCCGCCTGCCGCCTTCCCCTCATAACAAGACCAGACTTAGAGTAATAATGGTAGAAAGAGATGGGTTTGAGACTCTCAGATCCAAGGAGGGTGCTCTCAGACTCACTAGAGAGGGCTTCGTAACCTTCAGCGCCTGAGGGTCCGGCAATGGCAGCCAATGTGTCAGCTTAGTCAACTCTCTGCAGTCAATCGTCGACGTCCACCCCCTGCCGACCTCCCGAATCACAGCACTAACCTCCTCTGCCACTATTCTACTGAGCTGCAGCAAAAACCACCTTTCCCCAAGCCCAGTCACCGTCGCATAGCGGACTGCAGTCAGTCAGCCACGGTCTCAGCGGTAATCAAATGGTATGCAGCAGTCAACAGGGACAGCCGCCCGCGCACGGTCCTCAGTCACAGCAGCGGTACACCGTGGTAACCCGCAGCAAATCGCCGCGGCGTGCAGCGACTGACATATAGTCACAGCAGCAACCTTCCCATGGTGTATATCAGCAACCTTTCCCTCCGCATGCGACAGTAGCCCCGGCGCCCAAACAGCCGCCACCTGGTCAACTCGAAGTCAGAATTATCGGTTGTTGACTTTCTGATAACTTTCCGATTCCCATCAATAATCCCAAATCTTTCGGCAGGCTTGAGATTTGAGATGTCCCGATCGCAACCTAACACACGGGCTGTGGATCAGAAACACAGCCTCCTCCCTCTAAACGTAGTGAAGCAGTATCTACCCTAGTCAACAGCAACCCGCAGTTTGTAGCTACTCCTATGAACAGTATTGCGGACTGCTTCCGTATCGCAGTAGCCCCGTGATTCTGAGTAGAATGTTTGACAACTATCTAATAAAAAAAAAAAACTATAGTTCGAGAGAACGCCAATACTTAACTCCGAGCAATCACTAGAGTTGTGACTCAGACATCGATCACAGGGGGCGGCACCAAGATCGCAACTGTCCAGGGCTACAAGGTGTACTGTGTTTTCCCTTGAGCACACTGTGTAGCAACCGGTCCCCTCACTTTACTCAATCCTGGCACAGAGACATGGGAGTGGGAATTCCACCTGATATGCTGCCCGACAAAGTACTCAGCAGAACCGAGTAGGGTCTGTCAGCGGTATACACGCCAAGGCACAACCAAACCCGCCCTGTTATACCTTCGTCCCCAACTGCTTTAACCGCAGTTGATCAAACAGTCCGCCAGTTAGCTGTCAAGGCCATATCCCGCAGCTGGCTTGTAGTCGCTTCGACCAATAGGATGAACAACACACCGGCCATCTGATAGGCTTATAGCCCCAGTGGCTGGTTCCCTTCGCACAAGCAAGCTGATAAGATAGGCTGTATTTTGGCCAACAGGCAAATCAATATCCGGCCTCGTAGCTCTCCTTGTTACCGCTCTGGCTAACCCGCATCTGCCTTTAAACGTGGGCCAGAATTAGTGCACCGCGATGCCATCCATCCCCATTCCAATGCCGACTGCCATAGAGTCAGTCAGGTAAGTGTGTCCACCCTGACTCACTTTCGTCCCTCTACTTCCCAGGCCCATAGACTGAAGATGAATTTCCTACTAGGACCCGGGTAAGTTCATTTCCCCTTCCATTCACTCTCTCTCACGCTTAGTTCGAGATCTTCACAGTCCTATAGCCTCACTCTCACTCCCGGATTTGATCCCACCACCCGAGTCGCCCATCCTTCACACTTCTAGAGTTCACCTCTCCCTGTCTTAACTCGTCGGGAATCAGCCGAGGTGAGCGATCCCAAAATCGTTTGCGTCGTTCCCCAGTATTGCCGCGGAGCATTTCTATTCTCCTGCGCCAATACCAACATTCTAACCACTAATCTAATACCGAGAATCAACTCGCCCTGTATCAAATCCTCCACTTCGCAACCTTTCTCACCTGATTCTGTTAAATATCATACGAGATCTTTGACTTCCACGGTCACCATGTCCGACATCGCCCTCCTTCGCTACTCCGCCATAGCAGGCCACGCAGCTCCTCTACCTCGTACCACTTATCCTACTAACTCTCAGCTCAAACTAAACTATAGATCCAGAATCGCCATCCCGAAGAACCCCTGCTTATGACTTTATTTCATCCGATCTCGTTAAGAAACGATCGAAATACCACCTTCTCCTTCATCTCCCGCCATCTCCCACGCAGTCCCTTCTCTTTCTACTACTAATCCTACTCAACTAACACTAAAACTAACATTACCACGTGGTTCGCCCAGGGTAAAAACCCCAAGATCGACTCCTCCCTCGCTCAAAACCGTCGAGGAATGAGGGAGGCAGACACTTTTTCTGCTTGCCATAGCCACTTCCACAAAGCTCCCGCGCACCAACTTTCTTCTCTCCCTCTAACTCTACTAACTTGTTGCCAAAACTAACAACAAATTTAAACTCGCCTGCCTAAAAAAAACCCATTTCGTCACTTGGTTCATCCAATTCCGTTAAGGAACGGGCGAGCCACCCCTTTTTTCACTCCGCCACTGTTCCTCACCATCTCCTCCTTCGGTCTGCATGGATCTGGCGCGTTTATGCGCCCGGGTTCATCCTTCCCTTTTCCCTCTTCCATTCATCGCCCGCTGCTGCAAACGCCGCGCCCGCTACCTCGTCTCTCTGCTAGCACAGCGCCCGCTGCGCTATCCATTTTTTACCTTGCACGCACTCAGCACAACCTCCCATCCGTCTTTCCGGCCTATCCGTTGTCACCAACGCCCCCCTCGGTCGTGCCGCCAGCCCCCGATGGCCTGGTTTGCTATGCCACCCCTCTTGCGAAAGCACCTGGCTCGGTTACCGACCGGGTTCGTTCTTCCTCTCCCACAATGTTACGGTCGACGCTCACTCAGCGCCTTGCGGTCCGAACAGCCCTGCCGTCGGTCGGTTTACAAGTGAGACAAAGCAAGCGGAGGAAGAGAACTTCCTCCGCTCTTATGCACATCATCCTTGCGCAGGGTCCATGCTAATCTTCTCTGTGTCGTTCCAATTTTAGAGGATGTCCCGAAGGACAACACCAACACGAACGGATGTCCCGAAGGACTTGGCACCGGCTGGTGCCCAGGCTACTAACGCGACAGGCAATCGCCAGGCGAATCTCGCCGTGGGGCAGCCCACCCCGCCCCTCTCTGGTTCGCCCGTACCCGGCGCAGCCCGCGTCCGGGTTCATTCCGGGTTTTTGCGCATCCTCCCTACGCAGCGACCAAACGAACACTCTCTGTATCGCCCAGATTTTTAACGGATGTCCCAAAGGACGTGGCCGGGGCGATGCCCCGCAGTTCTCCCAAAGGCCAGCACTGGGGTCACAGGGTCAACCTGCCCTGGTCCCGGGAAATTTTGAATACCCGTTTTTACAGATCCGGCTCCATCATCTACGTTCGAACACAGATCTGTATTTCAAAGTCTTGGCGATGTGCCCCCTGCTGTGTTTTCGCGTCCACATACGGGCGCGACAATAATAATAACTAAATAAACTTAGAAATAATATATATATATATATAAATAAAAATGAGCGGTAGTCGGGCAGGGACCACGGCACCCCTCTCAGCCTACCCGTCAGCCCCACGCTTGGCCCCGCGGCAGCAAAAGGCGACGAGGATAGTCCCATAGGCCCATCAACCCCTCAAGCCTTTTCGCCACGCTCCTCCGCTCCCTTGCCGCACGCTTCCTCGATCCCTGCACCTGCTGCTTACCAGTCCGATGTTATAACCTATAAGGCTAAGCCCAAGCCTGGTACCAGCAGGCCTGACTCACCTAATAAAGAGGTAGCCCCCGGCCTTATGGGGCCAAAGGAGCCACCCTATGCCATTTCCTAACCCATACTCACACACATGACCACAAAAAGGCCGCGCCAACCTCCCGGTTGTGCCGCGTCTAGCCTCACCTGGCCGAATCCATCAGGTCCCATCATATGGATGCCGCGTAAGGCCACACTCGCTCACTGACCCGTCCATCGTTCCACGCGGAACCAGAGAAAAGCACCCATAGGTTAGCCAGCTTAGTCAAAACAAACAATTGTTATAATGGAGCGCACCGACCGATGTCCGCGCCACGTCTGCTAGTGTAACCAAAAGGAAGGGAAAATCACGCGCGCCTCAAACTTGCGCGCCCACGCACTCTTTTACTCTCGTCAACCATCTAGTCAACATAAATTACGGACGCGACCGCGCCTAGCGCGGCATACTTAAACTTTAAACCAAACTGCTTTCTGTTGTTTGCAAAGACCAGGGCGGATACCCTTGTAAGGGTATTCGCACCGACAGCGCGGAGTTGAACGCCATACCCCGGCGGCGCAGCACGGGGGAGACGTGTCACGTAGCGGTCGGTCTTTGTTGTAGACTGAGCACCAAGTGACGAACTTGTCCTGGGGCGGGGAGCGTTTTTTGGTGGCAGCTTCACGGTTGGAGGAGATACCTCAAAGATACAAGTACAGAGTGAACGACTAGAACAAACCGAATGTATTGAGCCGAAGAACGCTGTTAAATGGCGTCCTTCTCATGAAACATGTGAAACTTTCACAACATCTGAAGTGATAATTCTCCTCCCTTCAGAGGAACAAGGGGTGTGCGCACTATCTGGCCGTTGAAGTGGAAGGATCAACGGTGAGGAGAATAGTAACCTTTTTTCATTTTTTGGGGGCGGATAATGAGTCATAACACGAACCAGCCGTCCCTGTTGTGACGTGGCTTCTTTTCACTAAGGGTTTCTCTTGGGCCAATGGAGAGTAGTATGTTGTAACGAGCTACAACCCTTCGTCTGATCCCTTGGTAAAGGACAATAAGGCATGTGTGACAATGAAAGGACACCTTGGAGCAGGGCGAGCCACCAACAAGGCGCTCTCCTCTTTTCGGTCGAATACATGGACAGGTGAACTGCGGGAGCAAGGAGCGGCCGTTGAACTTCGAAAAGAGTCAGAAGGGCGAGTGATTGAACCCTGCAGACAACAAAGGCGAGATCTCAATGCAAGCTCTGCAAGAACGAACGTGAGAGTCAGCAACAGCGAGGAACCACCGCCAATAGTCAGGAGCTCTGACAGAATAAGGATACTTTGAAGAAACGGCGGGATTCCGATGGAGTTGAACGTACGTTGCTTGAACTGTGGGTGTGATCTAAGATGGGTCTGTGTGATAGGGCAGTGCCATCGGCCACAAAATGGTGATGATGAGGTAATACTATGGAGAGCTAATGATGTCGATAAGATTCTGTGGAATAGACGGGATGATTCTCACAATCCAGGGGATGATAATGACTATAATGCTGATGATGTTGATGATGATGATGTTGCTGCTGCTGCTGATGATGATGATGTTGATGATGATGATGATGATGATGATAATCATGACGAGGAAGATAACGATGATATGGGTCATTGGAATCAGAAGACTGGAGATGGCAAAAATGATGGTGAAAATCTGAAGTCTGGGTAGTATGGCGATAATGATGGTGATAATGAATCGTTGGCTCCGTTGGAATCACCTCAAAATGGCAATCGCAACCATGATGATGATGAGGAGGAGGAGGATGGGGAGAATGGTGGTATGAATAGTTGGACTCTGAAGATTGGGGATCATGGCGATAATGAGGGTGATAATGAATCTTTGACAGCGTTGGAATCACCTCAAAATGGTGATCGTGATGATGATGATGATGA